GTTCTGGAATTCTATACAGTGATGGTTACAAACTCTGTGAATATATTTAAAAACCACTGAAATGTATGCTTTATTAATTTTATGATATATTAATTATACCTTAGTAAAACTGTCATTTAAAATATGGCCAGAAAGATAATCTTTTTTCTTCCCTCCCCGGGGAAAATCAGGTAAATAATCATAAAAATTAGAGGTTTGTGTTGTATGAAGAACGAATGAAATACTGATTGTAGAATGTGGAAGTGTGAATTAAACTTTGAGACATAAAACTGCTTCTACAGTTTGGATGCTTTTCCCCAAAACCTCATGTTCAAAACTGATCCCCATGTTGAAGGTAGGTCCTAACAGGAGGTGTTTGTGTCAAGGGGCTGGATCCCTCATGAAAGGCTTAGTGCCATCCTCATGGTAATGAGTGAGTTCTCCCTCTATTATTAATAGTTCTCCTGAGAGCTGCCTGTTAAAAAGAGCCTGGCACGTCCCCTCTCCCTCTCTTGCTATGTGATCTCTGCACACACTGGCTCTCTTTCCCCTTCCACTGTGAATGGAGGCAGCCAGAGGCCCTGACAAGATGCAGATACTGGCAATATGCTTCTTGTACAGCCTGCAGAACTCTGAGCCAAATAAACCCCTTTTCTTTATATATTACCCAGCTTTGGCTGTTCCTTTATATGGCAACAAACAGACTAAAACAACTTCTAAGAATGTTGAGGCCATTTTGATTTTGGTGAAAGTAAATTCACTTAAGTATCCTTTATTCAGAAACTGAACTTTGTCAAGCTGAAGAAACTATACTATAAGTAAAGTTTTATTTTTATTGCAAAAAGTTCCTAGGCTGCTAAAAGAATACCCATTTATTTCAATCTCACCATCCCAGACCAACTCTATTCATAATTTAGACAAATAAAATCAGAAACCTAATATATAATATCCAGAAATTGTTGATTCTAAGATAACACACTGATGCATACAATGGAAACCAGAAACCATAAGCCTCATATTCTTTACTTCAAAGACACTGAGAAAATAACATTAAGCCAGACTGATGTAAAAGTTCCTTGTTGATAGAGCGCAAGAAAGTAAAAATTAGCTCATACTGAGAAAGCAAAACTCTGCCCTTCCACACTTCAAACTAGAACAGGAGACACAGATAAAACCAACTGAAAAGTTAACAACAAACAGTATTTCTTCCAAGGTCATTCTGCAGCTGTAAAATGTCATAATTACCTGGTTTTGAGCAATTACTGCTTTCTTACTCATCATGACACCTTGCCTTTTAAAGTCATAGGCTGTCAGATGTTTTGTAGTCTGACACATCAGAAAGAATGAAAGTGACTTTGATGCTAAGAAGCAGTTTTGATTTGCAACCCAGAAGCAGACTTTCATGAGAGGTTTCTGAATATGTCATTTTACATTTAACTTTGTATTTTCTAAGGAAATAGGACCCTAGGGTCCGTTATGCAATCTGGATGTGGTATTGACACTTTACACAGAGCCTACTTTGCTTTAAGCCTATCACATCACTGATCTCACTGAAGTTTCAACAGAATTCCCCCTTCGTCAAGATTATATAATAAACCCAGTGGGTGCCATGGGTCATGCCTGTAATCCCAGCACTTTGGGAGGCTGAGGTGGGCAGATTACTTGAGGTCAGGAGTTGAAGACCAGCCTGGCCAACATGGTGAAACCCCGTCTCTACTAAAAATACAAAAATTAGCTGGACATTGTGGTGGATGCCTATAGTCCCAGCTACCAGGAGGCTGAGGCACAAGAATCTTTTGAACCTGGGAGGTGGAGGTGGCAGTGAGCCAAGATCATGCCACTGCACTCCAGCCTGGGTGATGGAGATAGAACAAGACTCTGTCTAAAAAACAAAACAAAACAAAAGATTGTATCATAACCCTATTTCTTCCTTTGTCTGGTATAAGGTGTCCCTCATGTCCCTCTTTGCAAGAAGCCAACAATACTAAAAACTTTGGCCTGGTGGTCTTTGATTAAGTAGGACTATTTCTATAAACTTTTATATCATTATAAAATGATAAAAATCTCATTTGCTTTTAAAGGCTTCTTATTATCTTCTCTTCATCTTGAAGCTATTCTTATCTAGTTATCTGCTGTTAGGAAATTATTAAGTTGTTTACCTCAAGTTACAACATAGATACTGGTATTATAATACTCACTGTCCATGACCTCACTTGTTTTAGTTTGTGACTTCACTAGCATTTAAGTATCTTAACCTTACATATATCAGAAAGTATCAAGACTCTGCTGGGCGTGGTGGCCTGCGCCTGTAGTCCCAGCTACTCAGGAGGCTGAGGCAGGAGAATCGCTTGTACCTGGGAGGCAGAGGTTGCAGTGAGCTGAAATTGCACCACTGTACTCCAGCCTGAGCGACAGAGCGAGACTTCATCTAAATAAAAAAGTAACAAGACTCTTTGTCTTGATGTGTTCTTTTTGGTCTGATTATGATAATCATGTAATAAGAGTTCTTCATCAATATTCTATAGTTTCTTTGTTAGATGTTTCCACTAAAAAACATACACCTGTAAAATAAAGACATTTTGCACTGAAATGCCTTCTTTTAAAAAACCACACTACAAAAAAAAAAAAAACCACAAAAAACACTAATTGAAAACGTCAGCAGGGCTCAGTGGCTCACACCTTTAATCCCAGCATTTTGGGAGGCCGAAGCAGGTGGATCACCTGAGGTCAGGAGTTTGAGACCAGCTTGGCCCACATGGTGAAACCCCGTCTCTACAGAAAATACAAAAATTAGCCAGGCATCGTGGCGGGCACCTGTAATCCCAGCTACTCGAGAGGCCGAGGCAGGAGAATTGCTTGAACCTGGGAGGCAGAGGCTGTGGTGAGCTGAGATTGTGCCACCACACTCCAGCCTGAGCGACAGAGTGACACTCTGTCTCAAAAAGAAAAAAGGGAAAGAAAGAAAATTTCAACAATAGTTATAAGCAAATCAAGCAAATAAAAAAAACTAATTAATAATATTGATAGTAATTATCAAAGCATTGGTTCTATTCAAAGTAAAATTAAACTAAGCTATGTTCAATAAAAAGGATGCAGAATTTAGAGAAGCGCCAGACAGAATTAATCTTCTACCAGGGACTCCTTCTGTCAGAACAAAAATAAACTGTATGAATTGTACACCATGTCAAAAAGTATGCTATTTTCCTAAGGTTCATAGTTCAAAGTCTAAAACTATGAATAATTTCTACCTTAAGTTTTTGAGTCTGAGCTATCATATGTTAAAAAACAATTTTAAAAAATCATTTCGGGCCAGGCATGTGGCTCATCCCTGTAATCCCAGTACTTTGGGAGGTTGAGACAGGTGGATCATGAGGTCAGGAGTTTGAGACCAGCCTGGCCAATATGGTGAAACCTCATCTCTACTAAAAATACAAAAATCAGCCCAGCGTGGTGGCTCATGCCTGTAATCCCAGTACTTTGGGAGGCCAAGGTGGGCAGATCACAAGGTCAAGAGATCGAGACCATCCTGGGCCAACATGGTGAAACCCCGTCTCTACTAAAAATACAAAAATAAGCTTGGCATGGTGGCATGTGCCTGTAGTCCCAGCTACTCGGGAGGCTGAGGCAGGAGAATTGCTTGAACCCAGGAAGCGGAGGTTGCAGTGAGCCGAGATCGTGCCACTACATTCCAGCCTGGTGCCTGGCAACAGCGTGAGACTCTGCCTCAAAAAAAAAATTAGCTGGGCATGGTGGCAGGTACCTGTAGTCCCAGCCACAAGGGAGGCTGAGGCAGGAGAATCGCTTGAACCCGGGAGGCGGAGGTTTCAGTGAGCCAAGATCACGCCACTGCACTCCAGCCTGGGTGAGAGAGCAAGACTCGGTCTCAAAAA